TTGCAAAAAACGAATGCTACTTGTTTGCGCAAGTAAATCGGTAGTCACCCCCACAAACATAGACTTGCGAACCCATCATATATCATTGCCACGTCACTTATACATTAAAAAATACTGAGCCGGAAGAATGGTGAGATTTGAAGACCATGAAAAAATGTTGTTTATTATTTTTTTGCTCGAAGCTATTAGCTTTCGAAAATTTATATTTTCGGAAGCTCTCTGCTGCAGCTAAACTGCTCAATCCTGAAAACCTTTCGAAAGGAAGGGAACGAATCGGATCATGTTCATGTTCTCAGCTTTCTGAACAAATCCAGCACTCACAGAATCATCGCAAATAATTTCAACGTTTTCTTAAAAAAACTTTGCGTTTCTATAGAAGTTCAAGAATGAGTACGTACATCCTTATTGGACGAATAGGGATATTTATATCTAGCTGACATAAAGTAAACTCGAGTTCGAGAAATTGAACAGTTTGGACCTATTACCAAACGGATTGAATGAGGTCTGCTTTTGTGCAACTTGCAGTCCTTGCTTAAAAATATTTGCAGATATTGAAACAATTAGGTATACGCAATAGTTCTACAAGGCAGGAGCGGATCCAGCTTTCGAGTCAGGGGGGGGTCAAGTAGTACAAATTCAGTCTTTTGTTGTCTATGAAATTAGAAAAATTATCGTTAGTCATAGCTACAAGTTTTTGTTCATTCGGGTCGCCTGCAGTATTGTCAGGCTTGTCAGCTTGATATTTTCATAAACCTTGTGACTTCTGCGACAAAGACAGTGTCGAATGAAACCAATCGCTAAATACCTCTTTCGAGACCCAACTTTTAAATTGGTTCTTGTAGCAGACTGGCAGACAAATGTTCTTGAACGATTTGTGCGTTCCAGTACCATTTGAACAAATAATGGCATTAATGTCTTTACCTAGTTTACGACCTGGTGCGCTTGCTTCTTTAGAGGATACGAATTTTTTTTTGGGGCAACAGTCTTTGGAACAGACCACTCTCGTCTGCATTATAGATCTGGTTAACGCTGGATAAATGGCTGTACTGCAGATTTGTTGCTTGCTAATTCTTCACACGAGATCGTTAACCCACGGAGGCCAAATCTCTTCGCTCCATATTTTTTGTGATTTAAAAAAAAATTATTTCTTTTGCTTGCGGGGGTGCCGGATTATTCGACCTATCGGTCTATTGAAGTGCCGGATTAGTCAGATTATACTGTATTTGTTATTGCTGTTGATCTACACATAAAGAAGAACGAGATTGACTCATTTTGCGGATGTGACACAAAAGAGTCTCAACTCCTTAAAGACTCCTCCACAACACTCCCAGGTTACGCTAATTTTGATATATCATACATGAAGAAATTAGAAACTTCTTCAGATGTGAGCAACTAGAAATGCTTAAAATTTGTTGCTCTCTTCCATATTTGTGAATTTGATTGATTGAACACTATTTCCTGGTGGGTTGTTGTTGCAAAATAAATATTTTTAGTTAAAAATTTTAGATAATTAATCGTCTCAAAACTAAACAAATTTGATCTCATTGCTTTGACATTGAGCATTATCAAAAATTAACAATCTTTAAATGTGTGCAAGTATTCATTATTAAAGGCGTGCTGCGAAAAAATCCCACTCTACTTCTGAGTTAATTGATCTCGTCAATAATAATTGATGTACCTACTTCAACTCTTACTAATAGAAATACGATGTCATTCACTTTCGCCTTCAGCTTTATGTACTCACCCTTTGATGTTTGAAAGTGGCCCAAACTAATTTAAATAAAAGGGATTTTTTTGTGTCCGGTATACTTGTGCTCTTATCGAAGGGCCCGAGTACAATAGCAAGGGTTCAAATTGTCCAGATGCAGATCTTTCTTAATTTGTCATTTGCAGTGGTGAAGAATGGAATTCATTCTATGCTTAAGGCTGATTCAGTGAACATGCCAATTTGTCTAAATGCTATTTTCTTCATTCGCATAGAAAAGCTTCGAAAATAAATTGATGGATTCTTGAAGATATTGATGTATTTCTGAAGATCTTGAAGTATTCTTGATGTTGTTAGAAAAAGATGCAGGACTCAGATTCAGAGGTATATGGTAATTTGGCTTGTGCTGAATGGTCGTATGTGGCCTCCCACTTTGTTTTGTGTTACAGATTTGTTAAGATGATAATAAATAACTAATTTGTCAGAGCTCTCCGATTCTTCTAACTGTTCAAAGTGTAACTAATCTGACTAGCACTGCTACTGTTCGATTGTGTTGTCATGGAGGTAAAGAAAAGCCCCAATTGTGCCATAAATCAATCTACCCCAAAAGATTGCACGGAAACCGAGAATAGAAAACGGAGATAGACTCTATTATGTTTCGCAGATAGAACTGATCATGGGTCATTTTAAAGAAGAGCAATTTTGTTTTTGGTATTCTATGGTATTGTAAGCCAGTAGGATGATTCTTTAGATTGTGCTCATTGCGTCATTTCGTACCTACTTACTAATATATCTAGTAGGGCTAGGAATTTTTAAAAATCTGAAATTTGAATA